AGGATGATTAGGATTTCTATCTTCTCAAATGACTTATTGCCTTCTCAGGGGGCGGGGATGATATATATGCCGGAGTGTCCAACGTGAGCCCTTGAATCAAACTGACTTAAAGGACGACGTAGATGCAACCTAGGAGGCGGTGGAGAACCAACATTGCAATGAGGGGCTGACAGGTGGGTATCACCCTTTGCTTTGGTGTGGAGTCCTCCCGAGTCTTTTAGAACCTTCTGGTGTCCGTTTCGCTGTGGATAAGCGCAATTAAATCTAACATGTAGGTCTACCTTGACGGTTTTTTGGATAAACCCTACAGAAAATACAGATTCACCAAAACTCATGGAATTTGTTAGTTTAAACCCCTAAACTTTCATTGGTGATTATATTTATGTCCTTATATATGTTATATTTACGGTTTATAATGGTTGTTAACTACCATCAACAGAGGGGTAGATTCTAGCTCCTGCTATCAAGAAGGCCAATCCGAGCTTGCTGCATCCGCTATGCAGGTTCCGGGCGTAAGCTCTTATGGGCCTGGTGCTCTATTCATCGATGGTGGCATCCGTGGATGTCACTCTCCTTCTTGAAGACATTGATGCAAGCACACCTGCTTTCGTGCGCGCCCTCACGCGGCCTTATGCTCTCCTATGTTGCTCTCTCCCCATCTTATTGTTGGTATGGCTAACCTCCTACCCGTTGGCTTCTGCAAACACTACTTGCTGTCAAGTGCTCACCATCAACGGTTTGCTCTGTCATTCTCTACATCACTTGAGTGCTTCGTCTCATCATATGCTTGGTTGCGGGGACCTTGATCTCCTCTCTGGATCTCCTCATTCTCCTAATGGCGACCCTCCCCCTTTGAGGCTTCCTTCCCCCAAATGGCGTTGGTGGGCGTTAGTTGGAGCCTAGATGTGCTCTTAGGAGACGCTACTCACGGCTGCCGCATGTTGGCTCTGACTCAATGCCTTGCAGCTTCCTGGCTGCCGTCTATTGGATCCCACTCAATACCTTACAGCTGCATGTGGTGTGGAGCTTTTTGAGGTAAGTCTTTGGTGGTGGCACAGATTAGGAAGTGGTGCTTGCAATCGCTTCGGTTAGTAGGCGGAATTGGAAGCTGAATCATTGTGTTTGTTGTTGTTCTGTTATTATGTGTTGCAATCCCTCTCTCTCCTACTTGTCATGTACTTCTCGAAACTTTGTATTGGGATTGGCACCACGCCCTTCCACCCCCGGCATGTCCGGCATCTGTGGAATGAAAATTCAGGTCAGGAGGATTTTCTCCCCCTCCTCCCCAATGTTGACCTCAAAATAAATAAATAAACTATTCAACCACTCAACCTATAAATATTATTAACTTACTCCCTTCAAATATGCGGCTTATAAAAGGTTTTGTTGATTTAACTAGGGCCGATATGAACTCATAACTACTCTCCATTATTTAAATAAATACAAAAGCATTTGAAAAGTCCAAAATTTATCCTTAAATATAAATGTTTCTAAAAACTATACATGCCCAAATTTACAACTAATTAGTCGATTTTGTCATAATTGTGTAGGAACTGTGCAGTATAACCTAACGATAATGATAGGATGCGGGTGTCCATCCCTTCGGACGACCTGCACCCGTACTCCGCTCGCTGCTTCAGAGTGCACCCACACTTTGCCTCTGTATCTAAAAAAAGACAGAGCCGCTTGTCTTCTCCACCACCCACCGTGGCCTTCTCCAGCGTGGCAGCGTCACACCTGCACTCCATCCCTAGCTGCTCCATGGTCCGTGCCACCATCCTGCGCCACACCCGCATCCACCTCACCCATCGCGGAAGGGGAGGCATGCGCCTGCGCTTGGGGAGTTCTGCGCTTGCACCCCCATCAACCTAACTCGTCGGCAGGAAGGGGAGGCATGGGTGTATGCTGGGCCGTTGATGTCCCTTTGACTAGCGCATGTTGCAAGTGTATGTTTCAAGTGTTTCAGATGTTTCAAAGGTATGTTGCAAGTGATTCGTATGAATGTTGCAAAAGTATATCGGGATGTTGCCGATGTTGCAATGACTATACACGTATGTTGCAAGCGTCTGTTCCAAATGTTTCATCTATTTTTTTTCAAGCGTATGTTGCAAGTGTGTTTATTTGGATGTTGCATATGTTTCATATTGCAAGTGTTTCAGATGTATGTTTCAAGTATTTCATATGCCTTCAGACGTATGTTGCAAATGTTTCATATGAACGCCTCAAAAGTAGAGCGGGTGTTGCACGTGTTGCAATGGCACTGGGTGGTTGGCGGACACCGGCCTGTCGTAGGGCTTCGGCTCCTACCTCGCACGTCGTGCCTCGCCCTCTCCTCTCCTCTCCTCTTCTCTCCCTCCCCTTCCTTCCCTTCCCTCCATCTCGCCACGACAGTTCGAGCTCGACGGGGAAACCCTATCTGACGAGTAGGTTGACGCCCGCGGAGGTGCTGGGCCCGGGTGGTGGGCCGATGGCGGCATAATGCCTGCGTGGTGGCCCCGGAGCAAGCTAAGGTCCGTACTGTCCGCTCGCTACACGTGGGAAACAAGCAGCCGCAGGCGTAGTCCGGACGTCCGGCGCTAGTAACGCCCCCTAACCTAAACAACCATTCAACTTAGAAAAACCATTAATAACAAGGATTAGCCCAACAGCTAATGAGCAATTTAGTCAATCAGAAGGTGGCCCACCTGTTTAATGAGGGCACTCTTGCTCGTGGCTTGTAAGTCGTCCTAGAATTTCTAGAAGAGAAACTTTCACCCATCGTACCTAGCCTTTGTTGGTTCGTTGTTCAATTCTGATTTGATCGGTACTCGGCTCTGTCAGCACGGCTTTCGGCTTCAATACGACTTGCATGCAGGTTCTGGATGGCATGTTGACTGGTGCACAAGGAGGTGGCTAGGGCTGGACGGGCGGCCACTATCGCCTGTAGCAGCAACAACACCCACAGTTGTGCTACCGTCATGTCCAATCCGTTGGCTAGTTTCATCCCCCGAATGTTGGGGGCAGGGTCGCAGGGATTTGGGAGGCGCCGTGGAACAGGTTCAGCCTTCAGGAACGTCAAGTTGCATTTTTAACCAGTGACCGCCACAGTCCACGTAGGTCACCGACATGGCAAAATACGCTGCGTGGCATACATATGACTGTACACGCACACATTCATCTTCACCCATTAGTTTCCACATTTTGCAAGTTGTTGGACTAAAGTGATATCATCATACAAGTATGCATGATCGGTGCAATTTACTCTTTCTAGAACTATTTATATCTAGGGACTGAAGGACTAGAGGGAGTATCAGACCAGGTTCAGTAAAGCCAACAACCACAAGAAGTACAGAGATTGGAACGGGAGATTCTGTATTGGTTCTTCATGTCTCCAAGAGCATTTCTCCTATTCTCATCTCCTAGAGAATCAATCTCTGATGGGGATCAACCTTGATAGATAACCAGTAATAAATAACTCATGCAACATATTACCATGTATATGGTTAATTTATTGTAAACTATATTTATCATCAAATAAGCATCAAACGATCATATATACATCATCATATCACTCAGGTTCAGAGGCATAGCTTCCTTGAAGCCAACGGTGGTCATGGTCCCTGTCTTGAAATTTGCTTCATTAAACACTAATTGTCACCATATGCATGCTAAGAATAACATCAAATATACTCCATGTTTGTGTATATCCTTGCAACCCCCTTCTTCCACACACGCCACTCTGCCCTGAGATCTTGTTCAAGCTCCGCCACTTATCACTAGTTATTATAGGTTATGACATGACAATAGCATTGAGCTAGATTAATGGGCTTCGCCCATGAGAGAAAAAAGTTACAATTTTCTATGGAGAAATAGGGATCGGTGCTCCACTGACTACTCTAGATAGACCTTTCTGAGTTTCATAGGAGACAAGTGCAACTACCCTGTGGTTTTTGAATCTAAATGTTTGTGCGCAAGGGTGAAATATATGGAAGATTTACCATGATCAGCAAAACTATCAACTAGTAGGATCACTAATGTTTTAGGGACCATTAGGTGCAAAGTGTGTCCACTCGAACGATTCCCAAAACAATTGTTATCGGTAGAGTACATTTGTGCGCGCAAGCGCCAGAGTACAAGCATGGGGAGGAGAGCAGACACATGATCCATTATACTCCATTCATTCGTTATTTGGCTGATGGTTTTTGTGGCCGATAAGTCAACTGATGCTGTTTTATTGTGAGAGGAAAACACTGTACCATGGCTGATAAGCCGATCTGATAAGTTCGAAGCTATGTATATCAAAAACTATGTATAAAGTCAAAACAATCTATAGTTTAGAACAGATGGAACCATAATCATTGAGCACTATTGCTAAGGGGTGGTGGTGAACCCAACAATAAAAAAGGACGTATCAAATGCAGGGAGCTCCCACTCTGTGCGGGGCCTAGAGAAGGGTGTTAGTGACGAGCATTACCCTTGTCTGTGCAATACGAGAAGACCGTGACTCGAACCCAGAACCTTCCGGTCACAGGCGATAAGACTCTACCGCTTGCACCAGGCCCGCCCTTCTGGTGAGCCCAACAATGTTATTATAAATTTCTATCATGGAATTTGTAATTTTATCCAGGTCTAAAAGTTACATTGTGGCCTAAGATGGATTTTTTTCAATCAATGCTTTTACAAAGCATTTTGGGCACATGAGCCAGGTAAAACAAATAGTGTCAAATAGTAAGAAGGCAGCAATGTGCTGCATATTTGGGGAAATTCATTGCATAACACATTGTAAAACCAAATGTGCCTTGGCAAATGCACAGAAAAGCAAGCAGAAGATTGTAACGGCACCAGGTATCATGAAATTTCCTCAGCACATTTCACAAACATACAAAAACTGCATGTTTTCACTAAAGGAACACTGTCGGCACCACTTCACGAACAAATCCTTAAGCGTTGACAACAGAATGAATGTTTTCCACAGCATATTTTCTTTATTGAACAAGTGATTGCAGTGTTGGATACCCTCTTTACTGTTGGGCCTCTGACTCTTTCTTCTCCAGGTACCTGCAAAAATCAAACTCTGACATCAACTTTTTTTACGTGCTAGCTTCAATATTATCAAAAAGATAAATTGGACAGGAACCAGAACTCAAAAAAAGCTGTCAAAGGAAAACAGTTAGCACAGCGAACTTGGTACTGAACTACTATGCTGAAGGAACAAATTCACTTCACAAGCCTTACCCCTGAGCCCTAGCCCAGCGAGATAACTGATAGAGCTGAACGCTTTCATTGGAAGCATGGCATGCCAGAAGCAAATAATTTCGGGGCTGTACCATCCATGCAAACCTCATGAAGAGTACAGAATACACACACATGGCTGCATAAAAACATAAGCATCAACAACAGTTTGACATGACCCATCAAATAGGCAGTGTGAGACAATCCCTAGTAATTCCTACCTGCTGTCATATTGCCAGATATCATTTCAGGAGGCTTGTTCATGTCAACCAAACCCTGAAAACCAAATACAGAATCAAAAGAGATATAGTTTAGTTGGCAAAACAAAAAAGAAAAAAGAAAAAAAAGAGGAGTTCAATGAAAGGACACACAACTTAGAGGGTAATGAAAGCTAAATGTAAAGTCTAACTGTATACTATATACATAAATATATGGTTAATGCGTCTGTCAGAGGGATTTACCTAGAAATCTAATAACTTTTGCAGGTTATGGTCAACTTACAGAGTCAAAGTTTAGTAATTGAAATTTAGGGTGGTTTAGTTGGAACAAGAAAAATGATCAGGTCAAACATTTGTTACTTAGCACCCGCGAGAAAACAATGTGATGATAGATAGTTGCTGAATATGGAGTAACTCAGAATGATAACTGTCACTGTAGTTTTATGCCAGCTTACCCCCCCACCACCAGAAGAAACAATTTACAGCAACCCAAGGTACAGTCGAACATTATCAAAGTACTAATGCACAAAAGGAAGATCGCCCTTTAAAATATTAATAGCTAGAACAGATTACACCATGCAACTGAGTGCCCAATAACTCCAATGCCAATATTAGGACCCATCTGATAAGTTCAGCTGAATACAATTTGCAGGCACCTTGAAATATACCTAAAACAAGATATCTAAGATTCTAAGTCTGTAACTGTGTACATCTTGAATTAAGTTGTTAGTCCAATCAAGCCTGAAGCACATAGAAGAGAAATACACAGTCAAGCATTCAAGCCCATGAAGCACCTGGAATTATGGAAACTCCCTTTAAGCCCTAACTGTGATACTAACACTTATAGTACCTTGTTTCACATCAGACACTGAATCACATAGAAGAGAAATGAGAAAGAACTTTCTTGCAGATTCAACTGATACAACAAGGCAGCAATCGTTTGTCCTTGCTTCTAAATAGTATGTTTTGTGACTAATTAACTAGACCAAAATCAAGAACATTCTTCTGCTTTAGCATCTTAGCTCCCAGAATAAAATCCTACCGATGTTTCTCACAAAGCAAGGGGTGCTCCGAATCCCTCACCCTATAAACAGATTAAAGCCATTTTCGACATGACAGAACTCGGACACCGCTAGCATCAATATAATTGCGAAATTACGCTCGGTGCGTTGTTAAAGTCCACGAATCGCACAGATTTGCGTAAGAACCCAAGCATGAACTGCAGAGGCGTACCGCGATGACGAAGCCCCAGTTGGCGACAGGGCCCCAGAAGTGGGTGGTCTTGGGGCCGACGGGGCTGTTCAGGAACGATTTGAGCGCCGTCGCCATGGGGGAAGGGGAAGCAGCCGAAATCACCTGCCCATGTCACGCATACCGAATCACCACATCAAATCCAATAACAATAACAGCGAAATCGGGGTGCGGCGATCTCGACAGGACGTATGACCAGCCGTAGCGTTCCGCGAGAAGATCCACCAGCCCGTAGAGGGAGGGAGGAAGGGAGGGATACCTAGCGCAGCTCTCGTCGACGGCGGCGGCGGGACAGGCTCACAAGTCGACGAGGGCGAGGTTGGTGGAGAACGGGGGGAACAGAAGAGGACCAGTTGTGGAGAAGATTATAAATGGTGCAAGTGGGCCCGGCGGTATCATCGCATCCAAGCGTGGAGAGAGCAACATACTAATTCTAGTTCAAATTTGAAGATCTTTTTCTCGAAATTGTTGCATAATTCTTCCCTTCTATTATATCCGTTCCAAATCATAAGTTTTAAACCAATATATAAAAAATACACAAGCATCTACAACATCAAACTACATTTATTACTCATCAGATATACCGAGACATATGTTGATAGTGTATTTGTTATATTATATAGATGGTAATATAATTTTCTATAAACATTGTTAAAATTAGTAGTCTTGTTCTGCAGCGCTACTTTAGCAGTATTTTTCAGCGGACGAACAGTGTTTTTCTCTTACAACAAATTTAGCATAAGCTAAATTTCAACCAGTAAGTTTGACTTAGGATAATAAAGCTAAAACAATCTATATTTTCCAATGGAAGAAGTAATAAGCAAACAGATACACAACACAGAGTGTTCTTAAAAAGAGGAGTCTAAACCTAATAATGCATTGGGCACGTAACTTTGAACATGATCAGATCAGGGCGGACCCTGGGCCTCAGCCGGCTCACCATTTGCTCCATCCGTAGTCAATATTTGTAAATAAACCTACAACATGCATAACCGAGTTTTTCACGTACGTCACATCAATATTGGCTTGTGGTAATACATAAATTGTACGGTCGAAGCATGAGCTTCGTAGTTTCATCATTGTTCAGAGCGACTATGGTTTAGGGTCAATCTTCACCGTTGGGCCTCCTAGCTCTTTCTTCTCCATGAACCTGCACACAATCATATCAAAACTCCAACATTAATACCTTATTATTCCCTCTGGGCTATGCCCTGTTCGCTTGAACTTATCAGCCGTACCGTTTCAGTAAAATAATAGTATTTTTCTCTCACAACAAATCAACATCAGCACCATCCGTTTTTCAAGCAAGGCGAACAGGGCGCAAAACCCCGTAATGTTTTCGTTGTTATAGGAAAATTGCAATCCAAGGCCAATGATGTTCATTGAGCTTTTGCAAAGTTGTAAGATTGAATAGATTACAAGTGGAGAAGCTTTACCCTTGAGCCCTAGCCCAGCGAGACAACTGGTAGAGCTGAACACATTCGTTGCAGCTGTGGGTTACCATAAGGAAGTAGTTCCGAGGTCGTACCATCCATGCAAACCTGACGAAGAGCGCAGAATACACACACAAAACTGCAAAAAGAACATAAACATCAGCGATGGTTACAAAACTGCAAAAAGAACTATGAGACATACAAATCCCCAAGTATTTTCACATACCTCCTGTCATATTGCCGGATATCATTTCAGGAGGCTTTTTTGTGTCAGCCACACTCTGCAAAAATATATATAAAAAGTAAAAAATCCTCAGTGTTTATTAGTTGTAATATACCGACAAGTAAGAGCGAATGAAAACAAGCAGAACCAAATGTGAATAAGATATTGTGTTTTAAAAGTTATTTCATATTTGGAAACTTTAGCGAAAAGTTAGTAAAACCATTTCTTTTTTCTTAAATCCAAATAACATTAAATAATATGAGCATTTATATTCATACAGTTAACTTTGTATTTACAGATAGTGAATAAAGTTTAATATTAACATTTTATTTGTTTCATATTTATTAGAATATTTATGAAGTTATAATTATAAATTTTCATGTATGTTTATCAATATATTGGAATATTTAATAAATTTAAAATTTTAGTTTGGTCCATAATATGTATAATACCGTAAATATATTATAAACATAGAAGTAAATTTTAAAGAAAAAGTTATAACTCTGCATCAAAATGGGTTGAAAGCTCACGTAAACCTTAATATAAGTAGAAAAACAAACAACATGAGATTATTATCCAATAAAATTCTAAATATCCTATTAATATTTGTATCCATATTGGATTTTAAGTATCCATATTCCTATCCAATAACCAAGATGGCTATATGAATCCATATCCAGTATGGAAAAAAACACTTGGGTATTTGTGCCCCTTTGAGGCCTTGTTTGGATGTGGTTGGATTCGTATTAATCCACATGTGTTAGGGTGGATTAGAGTGAAACTTGAACTAAATTTCACCCCAATCCACTCCAATACATGTGAATTGAGGTTAATCCGATGACATCCAAACAAGACCTGAATGGAGGACGATGAGAAATGTCCCGTTTCATGTTCCATGCTTTCTCACAAGACACCATGAATTAAAATTGAAGGTCCCACATGTTAAGAATGGCATGGAATATTTTCAATATATTCTCTCTATTTTAAATTGTAAGTTGTTTTATCATCATAAGTCAAACTTCTTTAATTTGATCAAGTTTATGGACAAACATGGTAACATTAAAATAATCAAATCAAATGTATTATTAATGTATATTTAAGTTTGGTTTAATAGCACCGCATTGATGTGCTAGGTATTTATCCATTCCCATATAACCTTGGTCAAAAGTTATACTAATTTGATTTAGAGCAAAACTAAATCAACTTATAATTTAGAACGAAGAGATAAGATATATGAGCTATACTCTCTTCGTTATATGTAATGTTTTAGCTTTCTATCAAGTACAACAAAGATTCTCCAAACCTAGACATAGGGTATGTCCAGATATATCGAACATGACGTGAATCAGATATAGTGAGAGAGAGAGAGTACTTTAACGTGAACAGGCTGAGCATCAATGATTGGAGGTCTATTATTCTGGTTGCAACTTGCATGGAATCATTTTGGTTTCTTTTTCCTTTTTCGATTGGGACACGCAAATAATTCATTCCCTGATAAGAAAGTAATATGTGCAAATAATAATTTGTTCCCGATAAGAAAGTAAATATATGTGCAAATAATATGTGGTTTTGTATTGTTTCCCATGAGAGAGATTCAGCTATGGTCTATCCATCTTAATGAAAGTTCGAAAGACACTTCTTGAAGAAAACAAAGGATAGAAAAAGTCTGTCGGCGCTGTCAAGTGTCAACAGTTGGCTGCAGCTTGCGGAGTTTTTGGAGCTATGGTCTGTCTGTAGTGATCTATACTGAGCGTTCATTCAGTGGGATTCCGATCAGTATGACTCGGTGCAACGAAAATGGACTGAAATGCAAGATTCGATTCGTATACAGGGGCATGCAGAGCATCCATTTTCATGCTTAAACTGTTTGATTCGAGACACACCAGCAAGTGCGACTCAGACAAGATAAGACTGACACAAATGACCTGCGAGAGAAAGCGACTCGCTCACTCAAGCAAGTCAAATTATACGTCAGATACTACTGGTGCTCAAGCTCAACAGCTCAGCTCATGCCTGAAGAGAGACGATTCACGATCAGGAGCTCTCAGCAAAGACCAATCAATAGCAACCACGCTCGGCAAAGAAGTGAACGAGATGAACGAACCCCGACCGAGTCGACAGCAGGACGTGTACATACGTACCGCGAGGATGATGCCCCAGTTGGAGACGGGTCCCCAGAAGTGCGTCGTCTTGGGGCCCACTGGGCTGTTCAGGAACGCCTTGAACGCCGCCGACATGGCGGGCAGGCTGAGATGAGGCCGGCCGGCCGGCGACGAGCGAGCGAGGACGCGGAGTCCGTGGACCGTGGAGGAAGAAGACTGGCTAGGCACGATTCCGCGGAGTAGTTGGAGTAGCTACTCTAGAGTGATGGGAATTGGACGATGGCAGACGTTGCATATAAAGGAGAGATCCAAACGCCACCACCACTGGTGACTGGTCCATTGCTACTTTACTTTTTATCTTCTTGCCGTCCGGTCCGGCTGCTTTGGAACGCATTAGGTTAATCATACAGTGCCGCCCATTTCTGATAGATGATGCTACGTATAAGCTGCCAATAAACGAGGGGAACCCTTACTCCCGATCGAGAAAAACAAGGGATTAATCGACATGTGGTAATCTATATTGTATGGGAAGACAGGGTTATGAAATGTCGGGTTTGTTGGCCCACAGGATCACCGGCTTAGGTGAGTGAACCACTCATCGGTCTTGTCGAGCATCCACTAGTGTTGCCGAGCACCCACTAGCCGTGCCGACCATGAACAAGCGTTGTTCGTCCCCACACACTATGGCTCGAGCTAGAAGAAGAAGGGAGAACAGAGCATGCACGCACGATACAAGACACCAGCGTTGGTCGAAGCCCTGTCTGTGAGATGGCAAATCCGAGCTCTCTTTACTGAGTTACCGTAGTAGTCTATTTATACAACTCTATCCATCTAGTCCTAGTACAGCTGCCCATGCTATAACAGTAACTAGATAACATACAGGGCTGACTCTGCGCCGTCCACTACATGTGCCTACAGTGATGTAGGTGAGCAGATCGACGCATGCACCTGCAGCGGCTACAGTATCACAGCAGGAGGCCTTTTCGGCGCCGCCTTCCCCTTGCTGTGTTCACACAAGGTAGCAGTAGATTTAGCTAACAATCTTCCCCTAATCCTACTGCTATCCCTTGTACCCCTCCATGCCGATCAGCTCCTTCAGCTCCGTGAGTCGAAGTCGTCCGAGCGGCTTGGTGAGGACGTCCGTGAGTTGCCGACCAGTTTCGATGAACTCGATGACGATCTGCCCTCCATCAACACAGTCCCTGAGGAAGTGGAACTTCACGTCGATGTGTTTGCTCCGGTCGTGTAGAACCGGATTCTTCGCGAGGACGATGACGGGCTGGTTGTCCACCATCAGTGCTGGTGGGTGAGCTTCCACACCGGTCAGCTCGCCCAGCAGCCGACGTAGCCACACAACTTGGCACGCCGCTGTGGCCACTGCTACGTACTCTGCCTCGCATGTAGATAGCGCCACCACCTTCTGTTTCAGTGACAGCCACGAAATTGGGGCCGACCCGAGGAAGACGAGCACACCAGAGGTGCTCCGTCGCCCGTCGATGTCCCTCGCTATGTCTGCATCGCTGAGCACAATGAGCTGCAGCCTACTCTCGCCGGTTTTTGGGAAGATGATCCCGTGATCTACCGTCCCCTTGACGTAGCGTAGTAGCCGCTTCACCGTAGCCCAGTGATCCTCTCTGGTATCCTCCATGAAGCGACTGATAAAGCCCACGGCGAACGTAATGTCCGGCCTCATGTGGACTAGGTAGCGCAGACCGCTGATGACGGTCCGGTCGAGTGTCGCATCCACCTTCGCCGCGGTAGTGGCCTTCGTCAGTTTTAGCCGCTCCTCCATCGGAGTCACGCGTGGCTTGCACTCAGCCATACCGCTCCTCTCCAACGGCTTGGAGGCATACGTGCTCTGACCGAGCGTGAGTTCCTCCTTCTCCTGTCTCACCTCGATGCCGAGATAGTAGGAGAGTGCGCCGAGATCGCTCATTCAAAAATGAGCCGCCATCTCGCGCTTGAAGCTGTTGATGTCCTCCGTGCGCGCGCCGGTGACGATTAAGTCATCCACATACACGCCGACGACGAGCTCCTCCTTCCCCCGTCGCCGCGTGTAGAGCGCGTGCTCTGTTGCGCATCGTTGAAACCCAAGCTCGCCCAGCGTGGCGTCAAGCTTGGCGTTCCATGCTCGAGGGGCCTGCCGCAGCCCGTAGAGCGCTTTGCGCAGTCGGAGCACCCTGTGCTCCTCTCCCTTGACGGCGAAACCTAGAGGTTGCCTGACGAAGACAGACTCCGCCAGCTCGCCATTGAGGAAGGCCGATTTAACGTCCAAGTGATGGACGCGCCAGTCCTTTGCTGCTGCCAAAGCAAGTAGCAAACGAACCGGCTCCATGCGCGCTACTGGCGTAAAGACCTCCTCAAAGTCTATGCCCTCGCGCTGAACAAAGCCTCGGGCGACGAGGCGCGCCTTGTGCTTGACAATGGCACCGAGCTCGTCCCGCTTGACTTTGTACACCAACTTCAGGCTGATCGGTCGGCATCCTGGAGGTGGATCTACGAGCTGCCAAGTCTCATTTTCCTCGATCGCCTTCATCTCCTCCAGCATCGCCCGTCGCCAGTTTCCATCGCGCTCGGCAAGTGCGAACGTGGGTGGCTCCTCTGCACTGACGAGTAACAGCTCTGCGTCGTTGAGCAGTCCGCCCACCAGACCTGAGGGACCTGTGCCGCCGACGATGTCGTCCAGCCTGCGAAACCACACCTCCTCACCTTCGTGGAAGGCATCTACGAACTCAGTGATGTCACCTAGAGGTGAGGCGAACTCGATCGGCGTCGATGGAGTTTCTTGTTCCGCTGGAGTGCTCGGCATAGCACCTTGAGTGCTCAGTACTACTTATGGACACCTATTCATAACTCCTGCAGTGTTCGGCCATACTGTAGGAGTGCCTAGCCTTAGTCTTGGAGTGGTTGGCACCACTGCAAGACGTCTTGGCTTCGCCACGAGAGTACTCGGCACCCATCCTGGAGTGGTCGCCACCACTGCAGAACCTCCCGACATAACTCCTGGCGTACTCGGCATCTCTCCAGAAGTGCTCGGCACTCCTCCCGGAGTGCTCGGCATCTCTCTCAAAAGTGCTCGGCATTGCCCTAGGAGTGCTCGGCTCTACCGCCGGAGTGCTCGGCACCTCTTCCCCAGCGTCTCCACCACCGTGGATGACCAAGTGCTCGACGATGAAGGTGTTGGTGAAGCTGCAAGCTTCCCTCTTGCTCGGACTGCCCTAGTCCCAAGCCGCCTCCTCGTTGAACACGACATCGCGCGAGACAAGCACTTTGTCTCCGCGTGGGTCGTAAAGCCGGTACGCCTTGGTACCCTCCGCGTAGCCTAGGAACACCATGGGTGTGGTCCTGTCCTCTAGCTTGGTGAGGTTCGGCTTTGTCTTCCTGACGTGGCCGATGCAACCGAATGTTCGGAGGAAGGACACGCTCGGCTTGTGCCCATACCAAGCTTCGAACGGTGTCTTGTCCGTCAGGGCCTTGGTCGGAGATCGGTTGAGGATGAACACCGCTGTGGTCACCGCCTCACCCCAGAACCTTGTCGGCAACTCGGCATGCCTTTGGCCTTCATCATGGATCGGGCCATGCCGACCACTGTCTGGTTTCGTCTCTCCACCACGCCATTCTGTTGTGGCGAGTACGGCGTGGTGTGGTGTTGTCTCACACCCTGATCCGCGCAGTACACAGCGAACTCCACCGAAGTGAATTCGCCGCCGCGATCAGTCCTCAGCACACACAGCTTCTTGCCACTCTCGGCCTCCGCGCGCGTCTTGAACTTCTTGATCGCCGCCACCGCTTCGTCCTTGCTTGTCAGGAGTTGCAGCCACATGTAGCGATTGTAATCATCCACAAGCAGGAGGAAGTACCGACGACCACCATTTGTAGCAGGCGTGATCGGCCCGCAGAGGTCGCCGTGAACGAGCTCAAGAGCTTCTTTCACGCGATACTTGGCCATCTTTGGGAAAGGTAGCCTCCTCTGCTTCCCGGCCAGGCAGCTGTCGCACAGTTCGCCTCCATGCTTGATGTGGAGTAGCCCTCGGACCATCTTCTCCAACCGACCAAGCGCGTCGAAGCTGAGATGTCCGAACCGGGCATGGCACATCCATGGTTCCTCGGAGTGCCTTACCGCCAGGCACACCGGCTGCTCTACCTTCAGGTCGAGCAGGTACAACTGGTTCAGGGACCTCTTCACCTTGGCGAGAAGTCGATGCTCCCGGTCCCTGTTCCTAAGGACTCCGTCCTTGATCAGTACCTCGCTACCGCGCTCATCCAGCTAACCAAGGCTGATGATGCTGGAACGCAGCTATGGGATATAATATACATCCGTTAGCTCGCGGTGCTCCCTGTTCTGGCATCTGAAGATAATGGTGCCACGCCCTTGGATAGCCACCCTTGAGCCGTCACCAAACTTCACCGTATCGGTAACATCGCCGTCGAGCTCGAACAAGGATGCCTTGGAGCCCGTCATGTGGTTACTGTCACCAGAGTCCAGATACCACCGCTGCTCCTGGTCGGCGTCCACACGCCCGAGGTGAACTTGGGCGCGTGGTTCGTTGAGGTTGACGGTCTTCAGAGCCTTCCCAGGTCCTTCCACCGTCGTCTCCTCCTCCCTCTCCTCGGCCTTGACATCGTGCAGTGCACAGAACATCGCCATTAGGATAGTGGCCTCATCCTCATCATCGGCTTGCGCCAAATGAGCTTGAGCCTTCTTTTCCTGCTTGCGGTTTGGGCACTCCCGTGCCCAATGGCCCATCTTCCCGCAACGCCGGCAGGCGTTGGGGTTGACCTGCTTCTTCTCCGAAGAAGCCTTACTGCGACGCTTGCCATCGCCGCCGCGGTAGGAGGAGGCTGCCTTCCCGGAGTTCCTCCGAGCAGCCCACTCCTCTTCCGTCAGCAGGAGTTTCCCGCTGTTCTTCGTTGCTGTCGCCTACTCCAGGCGTTCGTCCACCGCCCGCAGACGACCTGTCACATTCTCAATGGTGAGGGTGGACAAGTCCAGCATCGTCTCTATGGAGAGAGCGATCTGGATGTACTTTGCCGGCACGGAGTGGAGGTACTTGGAGACCGCCTCCTCTTCGTCGATGGTGACGTCATGGCTCTTCAGCTTGTTGATGAGCGTCTGCAGGCGGAGGAAGAAGTTA